TTCATGTCATTAGCACCTCTAGTAACATATTTACTGAGAAAAATGGTGACGTGTTTAATACTTATTTTACCCGCTGTAGCTCATATGAGAGTGGGTACATTTGATAAGAGTTTTGTATCAAAGTTTTAAGTAGCTGCAGATTGTGTGGCTACAAGCTGATTAGTGACATCTGACCCGGCCCCTCTAATCACCATCAACCAGCAGAAACACTGGTCCACCTCATCTGACAGCACATAAATTAGTTCTTTTCACTCTAAAATGTGAACAAAGGTATTATAATGGCTCGTGGTTTGGATGTTTGTTTCAAATAAGAGGAAATGTTTTGGTTCTGAATGAAATCTTGAAAATTCGGCAGAAAACTGAAAAGCTTTTGCACAATTTTCCACTAAATTCTGTCATTTCAGTCACAGATATTTAAAATGAACAAGAACTGCACGTAAAAAAGGTTTAATATGTGACCGTGTCAGGGGTGGGGTTTGTGGAGTGGAGGTAGGGGGACTAACTGGACAACGATCAAACAAGTTAATTGAAAAACTGTAAAAGTGTAAATATAACAAGCTGTCAGGATCTACTTTATTTCAAACTTTATTAATTTCTTTAAAAATAAATTATATATACAATAAAAAAGAAAGAAAAATAAAATGAAATGAAAGGCAGCAGAGAGAAGAAAAAATCTTATAATATCTGCCCCTTTTTCCTCATGTATAAATTCAAACAATAGTAATTTTCATTTAACACAACAAAACAAAAATCTTTCTAGAACAACAATTAATATGAATGCACATTATTCTATTTCATATTTTTTCAACAATCTAACCAATATTCTCTTGTACATGTACATTGATTGGGCACTTTTCACATCATTTTCCAGATTATTCCACAATCTCACTCTTTCGATCGAGGTCCACCGTTCTTTCAATCAGGTTCTAAATTTAGGTTTCATGAACATCTCTGTTCCCTTAAGATTATAACAGCTCTCTCTCTCTTTGCAAAATTATTCTGGATGTTTAAACATAATGTGTTTTGGTGAGCCTTATATATAACCAACAAAATGTTATAATCAACAAAATCATAAAATTTGAATAATTTCATGTTACAAAATAATATATTAGATAGATAATGGTAGTGTTTTTGAGTGATAACTCTTATAGCTCTTTTCTGCAAAACAAAAACAGGATCCGTAATTGTCTTACATGCTTTACCCCATACCTCAGCACAATAAACCAAGTGTGGAACAAGTAATGTGTTATTTAACAGAATTTATCATTAAACGAGTCCCTTACTTTGAAAAGCAATGCAACAGATTTAGCTAATTTTTTCTTAAATAATTTATATGAGATTTCCATGTCAGTTTCTCATCAATAATAACACCCAAAAACTTTACCTCACTGACTCTACTGATCTCTACACCATCAACCCTAATGGAATATTAACAGTTCTTTGTCTCTTTGTAAATACCGTAAAATTTGTTTTATCCAAGTTTAATGATAATTTATTAAGTTTAAATCAGTTTTGTGTTTTCACAAATTCTGTTTGCATTTTTCTCAAACTATGCCTTTATCCAAACAAAAAAAAAGTGGTATCATCTGCAAATAAAACACTTGAAAAGCCCTGACACATCAACCAAGTCATTCACATACAAGATAAACAGTTTTGGTCCAAATATAGGACCCTGAGGAACTCCACATGTAATTCCACAGAGTTCAGATCCTACATCTTGTACTTGTACAAACTGTTTCCTATTTTCTAAATAACTACTGTAGATATCCACTGTAAAGCTGGTCCTCTAATCCCATATTTATTTAGCTTTTCAAGTAGAATGCTGTGGTCCATCTTGTCAAATGCTTTCTTCAAATCAACATAAATACTGGCACAATATTGTTTTTGATCAATAGCATTTGTTATTTGTTCTATAAGTTCCATAAGAGCCGTTGATGTCGAGTTATTGGTTCTAAATCCATATTGACTGCTACTTAAGATTTTATTTTTGTCAATAAATGTATCTAATCTAATTACAAATAACTTCTCTAAAATTTTTGAGAACTGTGGTAATAAGGGTATTGGTCTGTAATTACTAAATATACTTTTCTCACCCTTTTTGTAAATAGTAATTACCTTTCATATTATTTGGAAATGTTCCTGCTGAAAATTTAAAGCTCATTATTTCCTTAACAAACATCATATCTATGTTCACCCGATCTTTTGACCTTTTATCCACAAACTTTTTTATAATACTCATTTCTTCCTCATCAGTTTCACCAAGAAAGATATTTGCACAACTTCTGATGATTTCAATCACACCATTTTCAGCTTTTGATATTTGAGCAGCGAGACTTCGACCAACATTAACATAATAATGATTAAATTATTTTGCTATTTAATTTTGATCATAACGTTCCTTATTATCTTTTACAAAGTATTGTGA